TGATTACTGCGCACTGGATGATTACTGCGCACTGGATGATTACTGCGCACTGGATGATTACTGCGCACTGGATGATTACTGGCTCTATGGTTTTTTAGGACATACGTAGCCTTTCCTCAGCTTTTGAACCCTGCCTGAGGGTGGCCTGGTTTCATTCTGCTGTAACATGTCCTATGAATATCTTTGCTGGTATCCTAACTGAGAATGTCAGCCTGTGCCCATTATGTATTTCTTGTGATCGGTTTGGATTCTGCAATGCTGCCGTTTTGTTGACGTAAATCCTTATCTATCACTATGATCCTGTATTTTTCTCCCTGGTCTTTGGTTTCACACCCTCTGGTAGTTTCCCCTCATAATATTTTATATCATTTCTGATGCTTGCAAAGACTAAAGCAGAAAAACATTTGTTCAAATACTTTAGTTAGGATGGCAAGAATTCATGGTAATCTATCCCAGGGAATACCTTAAGACAGAGAACTTTTTTATTTATTTGATCAGGAATCTCATATTCCTCAAAAGCGGATAACTTGTCGTGCTTTACACAAAGATTAATTGTGTCATTTTGGAACTGTGACTGAACTCGCACCAGTGACCTGCACAGTTGTGTAGCAAATTTTACAAGGTTTATAAAGTAGCTAAATTTAGGAAATTGTTGCCTTTTCCAAAATAAAACAAAATGAGTATATAAAATTAACTATTATCGTCTTCACTGTTTCACCATATAGTGAGAATGTGGGTTAGTGTGCCGCCATATCAGATTTCCGTGAGTCACCCATGGCAATGACCTACTTTTGGAGAGCCTGCCTCGACGGCCTACCGCTGCGCAGCTGTGCGTCCCCATGACTGGCAGAGCACCCTGTTAGACACAGTCCCAAACAAGTGCTTTACCTTGTTTGATGTTTTAAAATATCTTGCCTGGAAAATGTTTTCCTGAAGTTTACAGAGACGTAAATTTGATGTGGAGATTTTACTTTGCCCCATCATACCCCGGACTGGTTTACTGTGTTATGCAAGTTACATGTGTAGCTTGCGCAGCATTTCCTTGATTTGTTGCTGGTTTGCTGCTTGAGTTTCGTGTTGCGTGTTTTTCAGGACTGCCAGTAAAGAATACCATGAGTTTAAATTCCTTCCTGACTGCCTGTGTCATGTCCGCAACTTGGAAATATATAATATAATATAATTATATAATATAAAGTAATATAAAAATAATCGCTACTCTGCAGGTGAGATGGAGCCCAGATTATCGGCACGTGGGGCAGCCACCCAAGGAATCACTGGGGTTAAGGGTCTTCCTGAAGGACCCACCGCCGAGTCAAGGGCTCGAACCGGCGACCTTCTGATCACAGATACAGAGGCTTAGCTTACTGAGCCCCCACATTAATGCCAAAGTACTCGTCTTCTATTCTTATACAGCAATTCTCAACCAAATTAAAAGAAAAGAGTATTGCTAGAGATGCAACCTGCTGCACCATTCTGAGGTTATATTTTATGTATGTTCACATATCTGTCAGCAGCAGGCTGGATGCTGATGAAAATGGGTTTGAGCCTCGTTGCTCCATACAGGGTCAGGGGCCCTTGGCTGCTGCTGTAATATTTGCAGCCTTTTGTGGCTTGTTCATTCTTGCTGCGTGTTTCATAATCACTTGGTTCAGTGTAATGTGGGTAACACTAATGTTCTGTTTAAAAATAAATCTTTTCGAAATTGTTTTCTGTGCAGACGGTGTGAAAAAGATTTTGTTTGGAAACTGGGTGATTTCTCACAAATATTGTCACGTGTCGTGACTAGGGATGAGCATTTCAGGTAGAATTACTAGTCAAATTTTGCCAATTATTTGAATATTTGATTAGCCCCGCCCCCAACCCCACCCTCACAACACACACACACACAGAAATGCGGATGGAGTATGTTTCAACATTTTTTTTCCGTATGAAATGAGATATTACAGTAAAAGGATAACATGAAACATTAAAATGTAGCTTGAATAAATTAAACTGAAATTAAACTGAAGAGATGCCAAAAAGATGCGTAAAAAATTGGAAACTAGTGCTGAACAATACTGGACAAATTTACATAGTGATATTTAAAATATTTGAGAGAAATATTGCAATATTCGTAAAATTAATTGATAATCTGCTCAAAATGAGCTATAGCCAAATAGAACTTATGATCTACTAATAGTCGGTCTCTACTGGGAAAGGCAAGTCGGCATTTCAGACTCTAACTTGCCAAAAAGTCTGTGTTGGTTCACTGACAGTTAAAATCTTACTAAGAACAAATTTCACAGAACATGAATTTCAGAAACGTTTTTTTCATGACATCCACGGCAATAAAATTAACGGCAGCAGCAGGATCAGATTCTTACGCTTGTTGCCACGAGTTGACAGCAGACAAAAAGCAGTGCCGACAAATTGCTTGCTATTACTCAATATCGTCTGTCGAATACGAAATATCTGCATTCAACAAAAGACGAATGTCTTCTGGTGGTTATTGTTCACTCGTTTTTGTTAAATCTTTCGCAAATGTGGCAAGTGTGAGTGGGCAAGGATGAAAATGATTGATTGGCTAAGGGAGTGATGCAGAGCTCACTCAACAGCAGAGGTAAGCTTCATAATGCAACAACCTCAAACTTATCGTACCTAATGATATTGCGGCTAATATACATATTTTATTTATCTGATTAAGATTTTATTTTATACATGCCCTTGATTTACATTAGACAATGTTGACACATCCCTAGAAGTGACCTGCTGAAACCTGCCATATCATGACCATTTCGTTGATGGTCTAGGCCTGTTTTTATTTTTTACACACACACACACACACACACACACACTGTACAAATGAGCTTGGTTTAATTGACCAAACTAGCAGTTTAGCCATGAGCTCAGCATGAGGGCAGTTGGGTCCCATGTAGCTGTAGGTGTTTCAGTCTCCCTAAGCCACGGCCTTCTCGCCTTTAACCACATTCTCTCATTCTGTTGTTCACCCTCCCTTCTACGGTGCAGTCCAGTCATCCGTCTGTTTACAGTGTCTTTACAGACAGTAACACTACAGTCTCAGGACAGCAGCTGCTTGCTTATTGTGTTGCTTTGTCAGACTTTCCCTGAATGGCCTGTGATTACATCTTCACTGAAGGACCAAATCCTTCAGAGAAATGGCAGACTTTTGGATGTTATTAAATTGTGTTCATAATAATGATCGGCTTAAAAGCCCTTTTCATGGAGATCAATAACACGTCTGCTATTCCCAAATATCTAGCTCTGTAAAGAGGGGTATTAAGCTTTAAGGAAGCAACTTTTGGGCAAAGCTGCAGCTAAGCTGACATTTACCAAACAAAGCAAACGGAAACACGATTTGAAATGTCCCACAAACACAAATAAGGAAGCAAGACTGTGGTTTGGGTTGGGTGGGGTTTCCATAGTTCGTGGCATGTGGTAGCTGGGATCTGTTGGATGAAATGAGGTTACTAGGCTAAATTGCACCCCCCCCCCCCGGGTACACGGATCTGTGTCGGTACAGTTATATAAGGGCTTACGTCTTTCCTGGCTGGCAGCCCACAAACGTGACTCCAAGTGTGTTTGCTTCACTGACCCAGACCGTCTTATTCTCCGATCCATCTGAGCTTTCGTAACACCTTTCAATTCTGCTGTTTCCGTTTGCATGACAATATGTCATTTTCTTTGTCTCTTAATAATCATCTTTGCTGCTCTAGGCATTTGATTTGCAGTTTGCCCTGAACCTTGAAAGTTTGTTTTGGTTCAGTTTTATTTTAAGACTCATTCTCAGAATAATTCCCACAGAAATTTTTCCATAAAGGTAATCTGATTGTACATGAGCTTCTGGTGAATGGCTAGGTAGTGTAAGCAGTATTGGGGCAAGAGCATCCTCTTCCAAACAAAGCAAGATCACAACAACAACAGCAACAATAATAAAAAGTAAATTAAATAATTAGTAATATTTAATCAGCAGAAAACGAAATATTAAGAACATTCTGGGAAGGTGTGGTGGTATCGGGCTAGTAGAGGAATTTCTGGAACAGATGGGTCTTGAGGCATTTCTTGAAAGTGGAGAAGAAATCTGCTGAGTATGTGGTTCGGCAGCTGATGCCACCATAGGGGGAACTGCACAGGGGAAGCATCTTCTTGCATGGTGGAGGGATCTCTAAGTGGCTTTTCTTTGCTGACTAAAGAGGGCAAGATGGGATGTAGGTCTTCATGGAGATGGGTGCCTGTTCATTATTGACTCTGAAAGCCAGAACCAATGAATTGAATGTAAGCACCTATCTTGTCAGTGAAGAGAGACCAGTAGGGGTGTGATGTGAGAGTGTTTAGGCTGATTGAACACCAGACGTGCTGCATTTTGAATCATTTGCAGTGGTTTCACAGCACATGCTGGTATGTTATGTGTGTCTTATATGGATTGTACTTTTGGCCATTCATGCAATGGGATATTTACTGAAGTGATTAAACTTTTTACTCAAGTGCAATTTAGGTTTTTGGACATAATTATCAAAATTATCTTCCTGCAGCTAAACGGGTCACTTTAGGTGTATTAGTCGCAGATGCAGAAGGTGATGAAAGTTGAATTCCAGACCAGAATATATTTCTGGAAAGGTACAGTACATTATGGTACAGCACTTAAACCATTTTAGCAAACTCTCCAGCTGTCTCAAATCTTGTTTCACACTTGGTCCAATGGTAGTATGTGCTCTCCCTGTCTGCCAGATAAAAGTAAATCCATTTTTCTCTTTGTTCTGTTGAGCATATGTTGTTTATCACAGCACAGCTCTGCTTTTGGACTGAGCTAAGAATGGATCTGAAGCTAAAGGACGTGACCCAGAGCCCAGGACGCCGCTGTCCCGCATCTGTCTGGGTCTGCCCTGCTCTGTGGTGTTCTGTCTGAGCCCTGTCTGATCCTCCCCACCTGGGTAGTGTCTTCCTGTGTTGGGGGACACGTGCTGCTAGCTGGCTAGCCGGGACTGACCCCTCTGTAAACCTGCTGCCGTTGGAGCTCTCTTCGTTCAGGTGTTGCTGGCCGTGTCGAGGCGGAGGGCGGCCATAACCATGGCTTCCATAGCATCTGGCCTTTTCTCCTGACTTTCTTCTCTTTGGTCTAAACCTTGAGATTTCCAATTCTTTTTTTTTCCTTCACATTTAGGAATGAGCAGTATTTGCACACACATTTCGTGTTTGATCTTCTATCCATCTGTCCATTCATCTTCCAAGCCCTCACCTGGAGCTGGGGTCTGGGGATCTGTTTGACCTGTGGAGATAAATATTGTGCTTGTGTAAAGCATACATGAAACCCTTTCTCGTACATGTGTGGCAGTGTATTTGTGTGTTTGAAGTCAGTGAACATGTTTTGACTCTGGCTTTATTGCTATGACCATCATTATTTTCTTTATAAAATGAAGACATTTTACAACCAGACTGAAAGTTATTAACGTGTTAATTGCACAAAGGTAATTCAGTATGAGCTTTTATCCTTCAGTACGGTGCGTGCCTGGATGATGCCTGCTTTCCGGGGATCTGGTGTCTGTAGCGCTGTAAGGCAAGTTTGTTCCCAGATTAACTGTGTGTTCACACCCCAGGAGATTTTGTTGTAAGCGGCATGGACTCTAACCCCTCCCAACCTGCCCAGCCTGCCTGAGATTGAGAATGTCCTGTCCTTGGTCTGCAAATAATCTGGGCTTTGGAAGCTGGCTTTCTGGGGGTAGCAGAGAAGGGCCTGACCTTTTTGCGGAGGCTGTCTGGCCTTGATGGGCAAACACACAAGTGTACAAGTATATATCTCATTAGTTTTCTGCCCCCCCCCCCCCGTCTCTTTTTCAGTGTTAATGTTATTTGATTTGTATAATGTGGCAAAAACTGCCTTTTGTTTACATAGAGACTAGGTTTATGAAAAGAATGTCTCTTAACGAGGAAGTCTTTCTGTTGGGTACGCCTGAGGTACACTGATTTCTCCGTGTGCAAAGTTGACTGCGCTGAGTACATACCAGATGCTCTGCGTTACATCTTGGGCACCCAGATATAGCACCCTGCTTCACTCATGTTGGCAGGTGTCTCTGAAGCACCTTTAAAGATTAGCTGAAGGGTTAAGTAGCAGAGAATCAAGCAGCTTCCGTCACAGGTGCAGCAGTGTGGCCTCTGGGATGCTGATTGGGCCACCTGGCCCGTCTAAGTGAGCCGTGCAGCCATGGCTGATGGCCGTAACAGACGGGCTGCCCCTGGGGAATGAGGACTGCATTTAGCCTCCCAGGAATAGCGGGCTGTTCCTGGCACAGGTGGGCCGAGAGCCGAAGCCTGTTCTGTGAATGGGAACCGTACCTTGCTTGACCCAGTGTGACACGTTTACCAGGGTTCATAGAAGTCAACAATCTGCAGGGACAGGTTTAGCTTCATGGTGGGGCTGGCCAGGAGGGAACTCTAGAGCTGCTTAGTGAGAGCCGCTTGGATACTAAGCTCCGGGCTGGAGGCGGCACACGCATGAAATGGGCCATGTTTACTCCCTGAAGACCCTTCCCGGCCTCGTTTGCACGCTGAGTGCATGAGTCATACCTAGCGGTGTCTGTTCTGTTAATGGCCGTGTGTCGTATCAAGATTCTGATATTAAGACCGTCAAAGTTCATTTAAAAAGTGAACTGCAGTCGACACTTAGGACTTTAGAAACAGTCAGTTTCATATGGTTCTTGTGATACATTCGTATTTGCGTGGTTTGCCTTTGAAGGGGTGAAAAATATTGTTCTTTCCCCGCTAAGTCCTGTAAGATTGTTTTGAAAGGAAAGATGGGCAGGGTGTCTCACTGCTTATCTCTGTGTGTTTAGGGGGTGTTCCAGTGGTGGATGTCCATGAGAGGATTGTGGATGATGAGAGTGTGGGAGGTGTCAGGGAGTAGGGGGCTGCTTGTGCGTCAGCCCACAGCATGACACTGGTTTCATTTTGGAGCAGTGGGCTTTGGGAGTGGAAGGATTGCATGTAGCAGCCAGGGCACTTAGTCCTGTTCTCTTGGTGTGCCTGCCCTCACCCCCATTCATAGAAGGCAGATGGAAGCAATCCCAAGTGGCACTTCCTATAACACCACTGTGGAATGGCCTGTGGCTGAAGGTGTTCCAGGAGAGTGCCCCCTGGAGGGGATGGGCAGAACTGAACAACACTACAGTACCTTCCTTGTGTATTTTTTTAGCATAACTGCTAGCATGGTGTTGCCTTTTATCATAAAACAAATTCCCTTTCATCTACCTGTACTGCTGCCAATGTAAACTGCAAAATGGCTAAGTGCAGTGAGAGAGGAAGCCCTCTGCTGGTGACTGTTTGATGCTGCCGTGTTTCTGTAATAAACACTTCACAGCCTTTAGCAGTGACATGATACCTGGTAATGATAGAACCTCAAAATGAATGTCATCTTCTGATTTAGTTTGTTTTCTAGTCCCCTGGAGCTGGAGTCTCTTGTGTAACACAAGTTAATGCTGATACCTCAGCTCAGGCTCAGTCAATCTGCAAATGAAAAGCGTAACTAATTAATGCTGCCAGAAGCGTCCAGACTAATCTATTCAGTATTATGTTGGATTCCTTTCAACGATAAACATTGTAGATGGTAAAGTACCCTCTGACGCACAATTACACCCCCCCACATACGCACGCACACACGCACACACCTTTCCCCCACATACGCACGTACACACGCACACACCTTTCCCCCACATACACACGTACACACGCACACACCTTTCCGGCATGACTGATACTCCTCTGAGCAGGAGGGAACGGAGGTGGAATGAGCAGCTTGTGAGTGGGATGCCCCCCCCCCCCATGCATACGCACAAGCAAATCGACCCATTTTGTATTTTCAACCTACTACATTCATAATTAAGTAATCGCTATGGAAACCAGAGCCCGCAGAGCTCTTAAAGGAGGTTTATTTCCAGTATGTGCAGTAATTCCAACTTTCTAGAAGTTCTTCTTTTGTAAATCATCTTTGTGTCTAAAACTGTGTTTTCCCACCATTTTCCGGCTGCAGCTCACTTTGCATGAGGCTGATGGTAGGGTGCACATTGGAGTACAAGATATGTTATGGACCTCAGTTTTGAAAAATGTTGTGTTGCAGTACAAAACCACACTGGCCTTGTTACACAGTTACAGGCTTCCCCCTGTCATGCATGTACCGCAGGATATTTTTAATAGAGTTAAGGCTGCTCTAGCCTTGCTTGAGGTAAAGCACCATTTCAGTGTTTCCCCTAATTGATACACTTGTTTTGCTGCACTGAGCTGTGCTTGTTTGTTTGACTCATGTCTGGCCTCAGGTTCCTCTTGCAGTGCCTGGAAGACCTCGATGCCAACCTCCAGAAACTGAACTCTCGCCTTTTTGTCATCCGTGGGCAGCCAGCCAACGTGTTCCCTCGCCTCTTTAAGGTCAGCCCTGCCGTGTTTCCCCACCCCTTTAAGGTCGATCCCCGCCCCTTTAAGGTCAGCCCTGCCGTGTTTCCCCGCCCCTTTAAGGTCAGCCCTGCCGTGTTTTCCCGCCCCTTTAAGGTCGGCCCTGCCGTGTTTCCCCGCCCCTTTAAGGTCGGCCCTGCCGTGTTTCCCCGCCCCTTTAAGGTCGGCCCTGTCCCTTCCCTCCGCGCCGTGTTTCCCCGCCCCTTTAAGGTCGGCCCAGCCCCTTCCCTCCGCGCCGTGTTTCCCCGCCTCTTTAAGGTCGGCCCTGTCCCTTCCCTCCGCGCCGTGTTTCCCCGCCCCTTTAAGGTCGGCCCTGTCCCTTTCCTCCGCGCCGTGTTTCCCCGCCCCTTTAAGGTTGGCCCAGCCCCTTCCCTTGCATTTTTCATAGTGGAAAACTGGATTAAAAGTAGAGACTGGAAGGAGAGCAGTGTCTGAATGTAAATCACCATATAGGAGTACTACTCTCATGCTAGCTGGGCTGGTTGACATTGAAACTTTAACAATACTGGTTTCTGCATCTGACATGAATGGTTGAAATTCTAGTTCTGTATTCTGGGTGACTTTCAGGTTCTTTCGGTTGTGTCGTACTGCCTGAATATGAAGTTTGGTTTTGTGGAGGGAACTGACTATTTCTGACCTTTTTGTTTAATCAGTGACATGTGATAGGAAGAGGTTTATGTGAATTTAGTTTTGTTTTCACTCTTGTCCGCTTCAGGAGTGGAAAATCTCACGTCTGACATTTGAATACGATTCTGAGCCCTTTGGCAAGGAGCGGGATGCTGCCATCAAGAAGCTGGCGACGGAGGCTGGGGTGGAGGTCATTGTGAAGATCTCACACACCCTCTACGACCTGGACCGGTGAGCAGAGAACCAGAGAAACCACTTGGCGTTTAGTACTACTGGTACATTTCTGGACAGATCTGGGTTAGCCAGTGAGACGCAGCACCTGGGGCAGAAACGCAGAAACACCTGCTGCGCCATTTGGCCCCCACCCGCAAGACAGGTGTTGCAGGTGTTTTCATGAAGTGATGACACAGCCAAGCTGCAGCAGCGGGCGAGCCGCTGTGACCAGGCGGCTCTTTGACTGGGCTTTGGGTCAGATTTACATGGGGAGCAGTTTGAGGAGCAGAATTTACAAGTAAGACTACATACCTGAGAGACTCTTTGAAGTCAACATTTAAAGTCTTTCTGGGACAAGACTGAGAGGGGATTTTCCAGGCATAAGCGGTTTAAACTTGGGCATTATTATCAAAGGGATGGTATTTAATACAGATGTCATTCCTGTAAATGTATAGGAATTCTAAGATTTTTGCATATCCTGTCTTGCTTTCCCTGACACACATGTACAGGCGAATACAGAGCTTGCAGCCAGGCTCTAGGAATAGCCATTTATTCAAGTTTTTTTCCACTTAAGACTTCAGTCACCGATTGCTTTAGTGTCAAAACTAAAATCAGAATTCTGTTTGTCATCCGTAAGCTTAGAATGTGTCTATACTGTGTTACATAAGTGTAATAAAATTACTTAGTTTTGCATATTCATCAAAGAATTGGGCAGGTGCAAAAGTCACGGTTGGCTGAGTACACTAAGCATTGTGGTGGTCAGTTCAGGTATTAAGTATTTTTGTTTTTAAGGAGAGAACTTTGTTCCTCTCATTACAGCTTAACACATAATGAGTCCCCCCTCCCTTGAGAGAGGGGGCCTCCTGCCCTAATCATGGCTTCCTGCCCTCAGGCGTTTGACCCTAACCTGCCCTCCCCACATCCACCTGCTCCCCAGGATCATCGAGCTGAATGGTGGGCAGCCCCCGCTCACCTACAAGCGCTTCCAGACGCTAATCAGCCGCATGGACCCCCCCGATCCGCCGGTGGAGCCACTGTCCGAAGCTTTCATGGGGGGCTGTGTGACCCCTGTGGCTGAGGACCATGCTGAGAAGTACGGGGTTCCGTCGCTGGAGGAGCTGGGTCAGTGCTCACCTGCATGGGAAGGCTGCTGTGGCAGAGCTACTGCATGCAGCCATCAAACACACTGTTCTCGGAGACATGTGATCCTGCAGACTGTCCTGGGGGGTGATGTAAGGGGGGGCCGATTTGCTGCAGGAGAGTATTCAATGGCTGTATGACTCCTTCCGCACCGTATCGCCGCACATATCCAGGCCTGGGTGGGGTGCCACACCCTACTGACGTGGGACCAGCAGTGTGCTCATACTGCCAACTCTGCTGTCCTTTTGTCTTTATAATCATTGTGATACAGTCACATGACCTTTCACCACGTGCAGATTCATTTAATTTCCACCACTCCATCTGGTGCTTCACTTTTTTTTTTTTTGTCACTAAGTGTATATAAAATATACTACAGCTGTTTCAGTACAAAATACCCCCCCCTTGTGTTATGATGATCATTCAGCCCTGGTACCAATTTTTACACCAGTGGAAAGTCAACACCGTGAAGTACCGTACTCTTGGTACATTTCAGGGTACCTGGTGTGGTGGAAAAGCTCTCTAAGTGTTGTGCTTGTTATGGTTAACTGCTCGTCCTTTAATTTGTGACGTTATTCTACTCTGTTTTTTGCAAGAAGAGCTGAAGTTGACTTGGGCCCCTGCTCTTCTGTGTTCCCTGCTCCCCAGGGTTTGACACGGAGGGCTTGCCGTCGGCGGTGTGGCCAGGAGGGGAAACGGAAGCTCTGACCCGGATAGAGCGGCACCTGGAGAGGAAGGTGAGCAAGCAGGCTGCCCTCAGAGCTGCCGGACGGCTTTGCTGCCATCGCCTGAGGAGTGGCTTTGACCCTCCACCTCTCCCTACTCCAGGCATGGGTGGCAAATTTCGAGAGGCCCAGGATGAATGCAAACTCTCTGCTGGCGAGTCCCACTGGACTCAGCCCCTACCTCCGCTTCGGGTGTCTGTCATGTCGTCTCTTCTACTTCAAGCTTACAGACCTCTACAGGAAGGTAAAGCCAGCCGGCCGGCCTCCCTGGCCCAGCATGACTGATCGTGTGTGAAATTAGATGGCGAATGGGGAGATTATGGATCTATGCCCATGGAAGGTTGAGTCAAATCCTGTGACACTAATCATATCAGTATTGGGCCCTTGAGCAAGGTCCTGAGCTCCCCAACGACATTGGGGAACCTCGTTCTCTGATGCTCACTTACACATCACTTTAGACAAAAGCTCCTGCTAAGTAAATGTAATTTTTAGGGCTGTCAAAATTAACGGGTTAACGCGGATTAATCCATCATCATGATTAATCTGATTAAAATTTTTAACGCAATTAACCCATCTGCAGCACAGAATGATTCAAAATCACTGAAATGTCTCTGTCAACCCATTTCGGGTAGTTTTAGTGCGTTCCATTTCCCCTCGGAACTTGTATTCCGAGTCGGATTCCGGAGTTTTGAAGCCGGAAGTGACTACATGCGCTCCCGTTTCTCTGCTCTTGGCGTTTCTCGGACATCCGAGAAATATCTCGGAGCAGCACAGAGGATCCCGAGTTCAGAATCCAAGATGGCTGCGCCCTTTATCAACAGAAGGGAAAGTTGTAGTCTTATACTGTTTAAGCACTACTTCTCATTTGTGGCTCATTAAATCGGTCGCACACGCTATACCGTCCAACTTATCTGTGGATGTGTTGCTACGGAGTTTTATATGTAAAGCACCGCACGTAATGTGTTATCAACTGATATTGCTAACAATGGCAATTAACCGGGCTAGAATTGGACTTCATGATTAGTTGGATTATTTGTCGGATTTACGGTAGTTCGTGCTAATTGTAAGTGAACGAAGATAAAGACCATTTAAACTGAGGTACCTTAAATCCGACAAGTTGTCCGGCTACGCAAAAAATCTTGCTTTTTGATATGGGTCCATGGTATTGCACTTCTGTGGCAGATGGAATGCATCCGACTCATGTTCAAGATGTTCAATAAACATGTTAAGTGCATATATATTCCCTTTTTTCTTGAGTCTGTTTGCTCATGCAAAATTAAATGTGATTAATATAGATTAAAAATGAATGATATTTAATCATGATTAATCAAAATTAATCCACAGGAACCCTGTGATTAATCTGATTAAAAATTTTAATCATTTGACAGCACTAGTAATTTTTAAACTGAAGGTGGTGCAAAACGTAAATATATTCAAGAAGCAAGAGTAGAAGTCATACTTTTATGATTTCTGAGAAGTACATTTTAAACTCTTTAGTTTTCTTGATGCAAGACCTTGCATTTAGTTTGAAGTGAATGGATTGTCCTTTGGCACCCGATGCAGGTGAAGAAGAACAGCTGGCCTCCTCTCTCCCTCTACGGCCAGCTGCTGTGGCGCGAGTTCTTCTACACAGCTGCCACCACCAACCCTCGCTTTGACAGGATGGAGGGCAACCCCATCTGCGTGCGCATCCCCTGGGACCGCAACCCTGAAGCGCTGGCCAAGTGGGCTGAGGCCAAGACCGGTTTCCCCTGGATCGATGCCATCATGACCCAGCTGCGCCAGGAGGGCTGGATCCATCACCTGGCCCGGCATGCCGTGGCCTGCTTCCTGACACGGGGGGACCTCTGGATCAACTGGGAGGAGGGCATGAAGGTAGGGGAAGGGGGTGAGGCTGGCGTGAAGGGAAGCAGCTTGCCTTGCAGACTCTGCATGGTCTAGGTGTTGATGGGGAAGGCCTTCGAAAGCCTGCAGGAGGGTGAGGTGACCGGAAAGAGGCCCTGAGATGCTGTTATTCTTAGTGACTCATCTGTCTCTTGTGATGCTACAATAATTGCTCGATTCTGACTGACAGTCAAGGGCTTTGGTGGGCCGTTTTTGGTCATCTCCTTAATCTCCAAGTCCGTTGGGAGCATTGTTAGACGTCTTCCATGAGTGCCTCACCTCGGCCCTCACTCCCCCCGCAGGTGTTTGAGGAGCTGCTGCTAGATGCAGACTGGAGTGTGAACGCGGGCAGCTGGATGTGGCTCTCCTGCAGCTCCTTCTTCCAGCAGTTTTTCCACTGCTACTGCCCAGTGGGCTTCGGCCGCCGCACCGACCCCAACGGCGACTTCATCAGGTGAGTGACCGTGTCCCCCTCACCCCCTCGGCTCATCTGCTTCAGGTCGTCCAATCGCATCACAGTGGCTGTCCACTCGCTACCGCTGGCCTATCCACTCACGGGACCTCTGCTTCGGGCGTTTCCTGTCACCCGCCTCCCAGCCCCATTACTGCACCAACACGTAGACATGTGGCCACACCCCCCACCCAGTATACACTCACGCTGATTGGAAAACGTGTTTCTGACAAGGGAAGTAGATGGCAAGGACACCTTCTCCAGATGTGACTGACATCGGTGTTCCCAACCTCTGACAGGGGTGTGAATCGTTTAAATCGGCCAATTGGTACCAAAGCGAGTACAACTTTCTGGAGCAGACCGTTGAAGCGGAACTTGTGAACACAGCATATGTTGCATTTCTGAAGTCTGGCGGTGCTGATTGAGTTGAGAGAACATGAATGCCAGCAGGTTTTAGTACTAGTCAGTCTGCTAAAAATGACTGAAGTTAACATTACCTGCTTTTAGTAACACTGAAATGTAATGTGAGACTGAGGTCGACATTCAGTCTAATTACTGTACAGTTAACATTTCAGAGCCGTGTTGCTTCATTTCAGCTCGGTAATCAGAACATTTTTAGAAATTTTATTTACAGATTTAACCATTGGTTCTGTCAGCTGATGGGTGACGTGGACATATTCTGAGAAGCCTCACTGCCGCTGTAAGCTCAGCCGAGGCACAAATCCCCCCCATCTCATGTGAGAATGGATAAGAATTTTGACAGCTGGAAGTTCTTAAATGGACGCATTTTTTAGAAGCGAATAAAGGGGTGGAATCGGGCAGGACTCTGTAGGAAAGCTGTGGTTAGTAAAGACGATAACAAAATGGCCTATTACAATGACGGCAGTTTTAAGGTACAGTTCAGGTACTCTAACCTCACATAGAACCAAAAGACACAAGCCAGTTTACTCTGTTATCCCCACCTGAAATTACTCATGTCTCTCCAAATATATATGTATTTTTTTAAAACCTCTAAAGGGAACGGTATGTGGTTCCAGTCTTTGTGAGAAACCGAAAGCCCAGACTGTGCTGTGATGCGTGCCTGTGTGTGGCTGGCTGTCTGTCTGCCTGTCTGTCTGCCTGTCTGCCGATGCTGTCCGTGGATGTCAGCAATGATATGTCCGGGGCGGACGCTTGTGTTTTTACTGCGTGAATGAGATTTAGCCCAGAATTCTTTGTTTCCGTGATGAGCTAAGAGGTGTTCTGTTTATTTTTGTGTCCCTATTGTTTGTCTGATCTAGGGGGTTTTGGGGATTGGGTGAAAAGTTCAGCTTTCCCCCACCCCTTTGTAAATTGTAGTTGATTGCTTTTAAGACGAAAGCCATTCTCAACCAAAGCACCTGGAGGCCTGCTGACTGTGACACTGGCAGAGGGCTTTTACCTGAGGCCTGCTGACTGTGACTCTGGCAGAGGGCTTTTACCTGAGGCCTGCTGACTGTGACTCTGGCAGAGGGCTTTT